ACAACTTGGAGGAAGTACAGCTGTTCCCTCAGAGAAGCATACACCGGGCAGCCAGGCCTAGGAAGAGGGGGTGTTCCCCTGGCGGTGACATACAGCATTCCTTTCACTTGAAGCATCTGAGCTGGAGGAGCTGCAGTCTCCCCTTGGGAATATGACATAACCATAGGCGGGAAGGGCCTCACAAAAACAGACCAGTATCCACACATCCTTCTCCAAAGGAAACCCCTTCCCATCCTGTGTGTAAGAACTCCCATGTCTGAGGAGGCTCACATTGGCCACCCCATCTCCAGTCAGACAAATAGCCTGAAGTCAGCAATCTGATAGGATGTGTTTATATTTACATGGTACATTTTAAAGCAATGGCTACATTGGTCATACATATTAGAAACCATAAAAAAAAGTTAAGAACTAAAATGTACATCATACACTTGTATATATATTTTTTACACAGAGGTAAAAAGGGTTATAAAAAAATCAATACAACAGGGTGTTTAGTATACAGGTAAAGAATGAATTATGCTTCAGGCACTTTAATTTGTTAATGAGAGCAAACAGCTTAGGGGGGAGGGGGAAGCTTCCAAACAGACAATCTTTTGGTTAATGTTTTGTTACCACAGATACAAAAATAAAATCTGAATAATTTCTCTCAAATGATTGACGTCAGTATGGCAAAGCTGACTGGGAAAATACTGCACACTGTTCAGCTGCAGTGTGGCAATTAGAGACGTATTTACATAAATGTCCCCATGGCTGTCCCTGTGCCCTTAACCGCTGCCTTCACAAACCAAAAAGCATACGCGGAGCAAGATTCACTAGCATAACTCTCAAAGGGTAGAAAAGCACAAGGGATGAAGGAAGATAGGAACAACTAAATAGAGACGACAAACCAAAAGCAGCTGGAATATGTGTATTCTTATTGAAATAAATAGGGGCACTTGAACTGAGGTCTAACGAAACATACATTAGTGTTGTGCTTTGTAGAGAGGAGACCTTGAGAAGGACCCCGAGGAAAAGCCTCAGGGCTGGGGGGGAAGACGGTCTCTCGACAACGCTGGGAGGCTGGCTGAGGTTTCCTAGATGTTCTCCAAGCAGGGAGGCTGTTCCTTTTTTCCCCATCATCACACTGACAGCTCTCTACTCTTTTTTCAGACTGAAAGGCCCAAACCAGTCACTCCGACAAGTGAAAACGTTTACCAACTCGCTCCTAAGCACAGTGGGTATTTACACCAATGATCTGACTAAAGAAATGCGACGGGCTCTGAGACGAGCTGAAAACATTCCCATGAAGGTAAGCGTGGCTAGCATTTTCCCAATACGATTGGCAGACTGAAAAAAAGTCCCTTTCCTTGAAGACTGATGTCCTGTGTGCAATAAAGAAGGAATGGGGGAAGTGGGGAGAGAGAGATTAGGCCATGCCCCCAGCTGGCAGTTACCACAGGAAGAGCACAGCAGGAAGAACAGCCAGTGTTGACAAGCCTGCCCCCTACATTCTCCACGACGTTCTGATTGTACTATGCTAGGTACAGGTAACCACTCTTCACTTTCTTCTTTCTGCCCTAAAGATTTGGCTATTCCTTGCGACGGATTAGAAAAATACTCTTTTCCAGCTAATTAGAAGCCTCCTACGTGGCAAGGCGACAGGTAGACCCAGTCTGCTGACTTAGCCATCTGTGCACACAAAATGGCCAGTCTGGGTTTGGAGTTGCAGGAGAAAGACACTTAGGCATTGGAAGGATTTTTACATATGGCCTTGTTTTTTCCCAAGTATAAATGAAGAATCTGTTGACGTGAAATTGAATCTAAGATGAAAACACAAACCCACGAACAAAATGCGACCCACCACTCCAAATTTATGACATTTAAAACTTCCCCTGGTTAATAGAAAATAGCCAGTGTGTGTGTCGGGGAAGCTCCTATAGTTTTACTACATCTGTAGTGTTTCTCAACTGGAACTTGTTTGGAGATCACTGTAAAGAGAATATTTGGTTTGCAAAACAATGAGCAAAATTTCTTCATTAGCGTTTTCTTCCAATATTGCTAAATTTTTAGAAGTGGCGGTGATACAATTTTAAAAAGTTCTACCTTAGGGGGTAACTGGAGAGGCTCAGAGAAACCTGAAATCCCCTTTCTAGCCCTGGCCCGAGAGGATGTGATGCAGTTTAAAGAATTTTCCTGATTCTCACAAGTTAATCTGAAGTTAAGGCTCAATTCTCAGTCATTTTACCGGTGCGTATTTTGCATTGTGAATAACTGACAGATTGGGAGGGGGGAGGGCAGAAAATGATAACGGGCTCAAGATAGAAACTGTAGCTTACATGGGAAATTTGGCTTTAGAAAAGTTAAAGCGATCTTGTTTCGTGGTAGAAGTTTGTTAACTAGCTCACCTCCTATACATAATAATTGCAGGTTAAAATACTTCTGGTTGGGTTTCATCATTCTGACATCACATTTCTGCAGGAACCCAGTGGTGCTGAGCAATAGGTAAGCTGAACCAAGAGAAATAGTCTTCTATGCTCTTGGAAAAAACCAATTACAAAACCCACCAAAATCAGCAGTTCTGAGTGCAGGTGCCTTTGAACTGGAAGAGGTGGGGAGGAAAGGCAGGAAATCAACACAGGTATAAGACAGTTAGCTTGATTACAGATTGTTAATAATACACGAGAATCTAGGTGGAGGTTCCTTTCTCTAGAACACTGCGCGTGTGTGGATGGATGGGTGGCTGGGGGAGTGCAGAGTCCACCAGGCAGGTTGCCCAGGCTGGAAGGGCGCTTCCAGGTCCCAGGGGGCGGGGGAGAAGATGAGAGTGTGTAGAAGACAAGGTCCCTGTGGCTGTGGTTGGAGGAGGGTAAGGGAGAGACATGGAGTCACACGGCCGCTTTGTGCTTCCCCCCGCAGCACCTGCACATCACCCCACAGTGGTAGCAGGCCCGAAGGGGCAGGTAACAGCACATACAGGGGGCCAAGAAAGACAAGGCAATAAGAGCCATCCACCGGAGGCAAAACTTCTCGTCGCTAGTGTCGCACGAGCACGGGTCTGTATAGTCGCCCTCGGGGTCCGACATACAGTGATAGAGCATGCTGTCCGCACACCACATACAGCTCACCCGGCGGATGCAAGTTCTCACGGCGTCAGGGGCGTCCTGGCAGTGGCCCCTCCGGTTCTCCTCATGGTTGAACATGTCCCTGCAGTACTCACACCGGGAGCGCTCTCCGTCTTCCTTCCGCCGCCGGGACTTGCCCCGCGAGGGCTGGGTCTTGATCACGCCGCCCCCGCGCCCTTTGGGGTCCTCGCCGAGACCAAAGTCCGAGGAGTCCACGTAGGGGTAGTTGTAGTCGTGCTTGGGGACCTCGCCCTTGGCGAAGCGCACGTAGGAGTCTGCGTCCTCCGAGGGGTCCAGGTGCTTGCCCCTCACGGGCGCATGCCGGTAGTCCTCGTAGCCCGTCATCCAGATCTTCTCCCGGGGGTTGATGCGCACGATCTCCTCATCGTCGTCCGGGAAGCTCACCTGGCGATAGGGCCTGGGCATTGGCTGCCCGAGAGAAAAAGAGTATTTTACAGCAACGGGGGGAAAAAAAAAATCCAATGTGCACCTTTCGCCTTGACAGAGGCATTTTTTGAAGAAACTGACCCATCCTCTAATTACTGAATATCCTGTGGGTCAGATATATTTCAAATTGTCCCCATTCATTCCTGGGTCAGGAAATCCGTTTAATGGGTCGAGACCAGCTTTCCCCCGTCTTTTTAAGTATTACTATATATGTGGGGAAAGTGTGTACACTGTAAGAATAGAGTCTGAATTTTCAGAAGCTGGACACACCCAGACCAAGAAGAAGGCAGCGGTCTCCCCTGGGACAACCCCCATCTCCCTTTCAATTACTGCCTAGCACTAAGGGTGATGGTGACCAGTAGCTAGATTCCTCACAGATTAGTTTTGCCTGGTTTTGTACAGTACATTCTCTTCTGCAAGACAACTTTTTTTCCCCTCAGTGAAACAGACCAACACTGGAGTCCACTGCATGTTATAAGGGTAAATATTTTTCATTATGTGTATCCCGAGTCACAGTCTAAAATGCATTTCTCACTATGGATCATGTTCAAAAAAGCAAAAGGAGATACCAGGCACTATAAGGTGCACAAGAACCTCGTAATCTGGATGCAAAGATAAGACACCCAGATAAGAAAAGGGTGAAGGTGTAGATCCCTGAGGCCAACTGCCTGGGTTCAAGTCCTGCCAGGATCTCACCGATTTTGAGTGGCAGAGCTGGAATCCGACAGAGGCAGGCCAGCCAAAGAACTAACCCTTCTGGCCTTTGACCCCAAACTGCATTCTCCCTTAGGGTGAATGAAGAGTCGTTTCTGCAGGCGGTCCCTCTACAGTTCACAACAGTGCCTCGTCCAGAGTGGCAGGTGTGCTAAGTCAATAGTTCCCGACTAGATGCAGGTAAGCCGGCCTCACAAAGACATCTCAGTTGTGGTAGAGATTTTCCACTTTAGAAGTCTTTTGGGAATGAAGGCTTTTTAAGGGGGGGAGATAATGGCTCTGCGTGAACCCACTGGAGTCAAATTTGGGTTGTGGAATTTAGCAAGTTACCAAGCATCAGACTCAGTTTCTCTGACTATCAAACTGCATAGGGCTGTTGTGAGAACAAAGAATCTATGCGGTGTGTCAACACAGAGCCTGTCACACGGGATGTGTTTGATACCTGTTGCCATTATCATCGTTATAGTAGTTAGAGAACTTTTACCCGGTAACTAGATTTACCCTTCACTTCCCACCAGACCGTGAGCTCCCTGAGGGCAGAGGCCACATCTCACACACTTGGCCTTAATTCCCGTCAGATTCTTGACATCAGAATTTCCTAGACTTTGGAAAAATCACAGTTCTACGAACAAATCTTGGAAGCTGGCACAGGCTTTGCTAACTTTTTATTTTTGCAAAGTAAGGAGAATCAAAGTCAGTTCCCATCTACTGCTACTATAATGTGATTTTTAAAAAGAACATGTTTAATGCCAAAATATTAGGAAGCAATAAATAATTTTTAATAAAAAGTCATATAAATCTAACTTTTTATGTTAACCATGCTCCTTTTTTCTTTTCATAGCAGACTAATGGCCACATCACCCTACACGGGCATGAGTCCATGGCCCACAGTTTGGGAACCTGCTCTGCAAAACAGCCGCTTGGTAAATATTTGTTGAATTACTGAATTCCAGACTCCAGCTACATCTCCCCGAGCAAGCCTGGGCCTGCAGCCCAAGATTCCAGGGTGCATGAGCCCAGCGCAGCGTTCTTCAGTCTCGACCGTCGCCCTGTGCTTTCCCCCAAAGCCAGAGGAACACGGGAGGCATCACAGCACCCTGTGAGCAGACTTGCATCTGAATCTTGTTCCACTAGGGATGCTGTCTAAGCCTCAGCTTCCTCATCTATAAACTGGGCCAAGGACCTGCCCTGTGTGGCAGTTTGAGAGAATTAAATGAGATAAAGCACAAGGGTTTAGCAAGGTGTCTGGCACACAGAAAACTCTGAGTAAGACTGAGCCACCCCCACCACCTCTGATATGAGATGGTACAAAGTAGAACGGAAGAGGCCTGGGCTTGAGGAGAGGAAGGAGACTGCCACTCACCTGTTCGAGGTGATAGTGGTCCGTAGAGTATGAGTCGTGGAGGTGACCCAGGGTATAAATCCTCCGGGGCTCACAGGCTGTGGGAGAGGAGATTGTCCGAGTAGGTTGTTCCCTCTTCTGCGAGGAATTAGAAGAACTGTCTGTAGCTGTCTGTTTAGAGAGAGGTAACCAAGAGTTAATTAAAAAAATAAAAATAAAAACCAAACCCACACACCAAACCCTAACATGTGTCTACCCCACTTGGGGCATCTTGGTGGACTTCTCTTGCTGGAAATCTTGAGTTTATCCTGGCTGTGGAAGGTGGGAGGACCCCTGAAGGGCAAGATTGTCTACACATGGTGTGGCCGGCTCAACAGGCAGGGAAACCCAGGCCCCAGCCCCTAAAAAGTTGGCTTTTCTCAAATGTGGGAGCAGCAACCAGGTTCTGGCTCACTACACCAGGCTTCCCACTGTGTATCCCAGTTTGATCAAGTATGGTTGCCCCATTCATAACCCTGGTTGCGAGGTACTCTGGCAAGCAAGCAGGGGCGATGTAAACAGGCAAAAATGAAACCCAAATGTTTGTATATGGGGCCAATCCTGGCCTGAGAAAGACTCAGATAAAGATACCTTGAGGGGTGTTGTGGGTACTTGCTTTCCAAGAAGAAATCTTTGGGTTTGAAGCAAATTTAGGGTTTTACTTTAATGAAGCAAGATGTATGACTGTACAGAGGGATGAAGGTCAACATCTGTGGGGGTGAGTACAGAGCTGTCTTCCCAGTAGGGACAAGTTCAGATTGGAGCCTCCATGACAGTGTCTTTTGGAAGGTGATCAGATATTGAGATGGACTGTGGCCAGAGCACAGGGGGCCCCACCGCCTCCTAATATACCTACCACCTAGGTGCTTAATGCCTCCACAGAAAACTCAATGAAAAGGGACCCCACAACCACTCCTCCCGCACCCCCCCCGCCTTTCCACAAACACATAAAAGGCTTTGTTAAATGCAGGTGGCAACCATCTTTAAAACCAGGGCCCCTTACACTCCCCACCCCACCTTCCATCTCCACAGAGTCACGCCCCCCTGCCCACAACCACTCCTACCGCACCCCCCCCGCCTTTCCACAAACACATAAAAGGCTTTGTTAAATGCAGGTGGCAACCATCTTTAAAACCAGGGCCCCTTACACTCCCCACCCCACCTTCCATCTCCACAGAGTCACGACCCTCCATGCCTTCAACAAATGAAAACAAGGTTTTTCTTGTTTCTAGGTATCTTATTTCTGGCAAATATGTAGAACTGCTGCTTGGCTGTTGCTTCTCACTCTTATATTCCTCTTATCTCACTTGCTTATTTATCTCTTGATTTTATGTTTTTTGTTAGTGCCATGAGTCCTTTTGGGGGCAAGGCAAGGTTAAAACAAAGACTTATAAAAGCTATTTTACCCCCCACTGTCCCGTTTATAAAGTAATAAATGCTCAGAAAAATGGTACTACAAGTATTTAGGAAAAAGAAAAGACACTCATTGTGCAACACAACTATTGTTAATTTTTAAAACCTGGTGGACATGTGCAACATCCCTTTGGGGACCTGACCCCTCCTGGATTTTTCTCTGTTTGGTTCAAGTGATGTGGGCTGATACCTGTTTCCAATCCTTCAACCACAATGACTAATTCAGGTATGGACACATGGTCCTCTCAAGCAATATGAATTTTTGACAGGTCAGAAAAAAGATTTTTTTTAAGATGCTGTCTTTATCTCTGAAGTTAAGATCAAAGGGTCCCATAAGCCTGGAATCCTGGTGAAGGCACAGGGTAAGAACCTTCTGAAGATGAAGTCAAGTAAAACCAAGAGAAGAAGGCCCCCACAGACCCCATAAATTTCTGAATGTAGTCAAGCCTGAATTCTGATCCACTCTAGGATAGGATGTTTCAATGACATGAGCCAATTCCCTTTGGTAACAAATGAGATGTGTTGGGTTCATCACTTGGGTGCACTTCTTCCTCACTCCCGATCCCTCTGTGTGGCAGCAGTTCCACCGCATCACATTCCTGGCCTCTCTCTGGCCCTCACTCATCTCCACGAGTGGAGTGGAACTAGGCTTGCAGTCCGCTACTTTACTCCTCTGCCTCTTGAAAGCCACCCAATTGGCAAATAGCACATGCTGGCAACCATTCTTGGAACTGTGAAGTCCACTTGGGGGTCAAGGGCCTGCCCCACTGTGGGGAGGCTGTAGCACTCCAGCGCCTCTCTGCTTGGCGGGCCAGGTCCTGGGACATCGTCCACTGCCCACAGATGTAAGCCAAGACCATAGAGGGTCTTCTAACTTTTGTTCTTCTCAGTTGGTTCAGAACTCGGATAGGGAAGAATTACTATTGACCCTTTAAATCCCAGTAACTAAGAGACCGAACTGATGCACAAGAATTTTTACTTTTTTCCAAATTCCACCTGTCCTCCAACTCTGACCCACTCCTTCCTTTTGTCCCCGGAGGTAATGCATTCTCCCTCTTTACCACATGGTGGTTGTTGATCAGACAAAACGACAAAGCCAAGAACTCTTAATAGTCTCCTGTCAGTATGGAGGATTTGCCACCTGGGCTAGAACGCAGCCCCTGACCACCAAGCCCAGTGGGATTTCAACGCCCCACATGCTGCTTCTCTGGTCAGGCGAACCCATTCCAATGCCCACTCTGGAGGTGTTTTGTTGAGATTAACACAACTTCTCCAAGAAGGTACACCCTGCTTGACACAAAAGATGAGGAGATGGTGTCTCACAATACAAAGGTTTCTAAAGATCTCAATACTTTCTGAATAAGCAAGTAAGGGCCCTTGTGTGATTCAATCTTCAAGGGTTAAATTCTTATCCAACACCCACATGACAGTTGTCTTTGAGGTTAGAAGCTACCTTGTGTACACCTGAAACTAACAAAATTGAACGTCAACTCTAATTGAAAAAAAAAAGCTACCCTTGTGTCGAACACGGTAATAAGCACTCATTTAGTTATCAGAAACCAGTGAACACATCGTGGTCACCTCTGTGTTAGTTGTTCACCCTAATCCATCTCATGTCCGGGTAAACAATGGGTAGAAAGTGGTTCTAAGCAATGCGGCACACCCAGCTTGCCTAGTATTCCCGAGCCAATCAGAAACGCCATCCCTGATGCACCCATCCAACCTCCCCAACCCCGAACAGCCTTTCCATTGCACAGAGTCAAGTGCAAAGCTTCCTGGACATTGTCAGAGAATGTGAGACTGAGAAAGGCCTCTCAAGATCTCCAAAACTGATGGATTTGCACAAAGAAGCAAGAAAGCCAGAAAACTTTGAGGCGTGCCTACAGTACATGGCCTCCTGCATGTCTGGCCCAGACCAGAGCCTTCTCTGCCAAACTGCTGTGTTGGTTTAGACTCTGGAAAGAACATGCAAGAGGCTCCATTGGAAGCTGAGGCTTATTTCAGATCTGTACTATCAGACAAATCTTGCAAAGTGGTGGTGAGTGTGACCTACAAACAAAAGGAATGTACTAACAGGGCATCTCCAAGAACGGAGAGGAGAAACACCTCCTACCTACGTTTACCTCTGACTGGTTCTCCCTAACTCTGCTCTTGGTTTCCACACACAGCTGGAGAAAAGCACTGAGCTGTGTGTGCAAGCGCACACGCATTCACAAACAAGATTCTTGAACATCTCTCTGATATTTGTGTGCACAAGCTAAAGACACCTACCAATCTGACAGTTTCGCCTTCAATTCGGAAAGGCTCTGGCCGTGTTTTAAACTCGCCTTGCTCTCCGGAAGGTGTCTTAGAACTGGTGCGGGTTTGAACTAAAGAACAAAAGTAGAAGTCCTCTGCAGCTACTCTGTGTTTGGGGACCTGAGGCTCCGAAGAGGGGTGGCTTTGACAACAGGGTTCCCCATGTCTGGAAAGAGCAGTCAGAGGGAGACTTCAGTGCCGCCCACTGGGGACACCAAGGCTGGGCACTGCCGTCAACTCGTGGGAGGTCTCCGGCTCTGTGATGCAGTAAACGCAAATGTATCCTTCAAAACTTGCTTCTGGGTTTAGGTTTGACTGATGCAACATCAGTGGCCCACAATTAAAAAGAAGTCTAAGAAGTTTGCAACCTATTATGAGGCACTGAACAACAAATGCAGTGGAGTGTGGTAATGTTAAATAACAGGGTCTCAGCTCAGGCCAACTATTTGAATCATTCTCTGCTAATTATAAGTTGTGTGATTGTGGTCAAGTTGACCTCTAAACTCCAGTTTTCACATCTGCAAAATGGAGCTAAAATCAGGGTTATTGCATAAATGAAATGAGATTAAACGGTTTTCCAAACGGTTACTGCTGATTACAGAAAAGGCACTGATTCTGTTGATCCTGTATCTGGTCGCCTTAAATCATTATAAAAGTTCAAATATTTTTTTATCCACTGACTCTGGATTTTTCTAAGTATATCATACTACTCACAAGAGATAGTCTGGTCTCTTTTCCAATATTTATACCTTCTTTTTCTCGTTGCAATTTTTGCCAGGGCTTCCAGCAAGATGTGAAAAAACAGGTGATGGTGGTGGCCTTGCCTGAGCTTGACCTTAATGGAACTTCTAACGCTTCTCTATCAAAATATAGTTCTAGATAGGTGGAGTGATTATAAAGTAAAATTCCAAAAAGTTTCCTTGTATTCTAGATTGCGAAGGGTTTTTACCAAAAGCTGTTAGATGTCACCAGGTTTTTTTGTATATCTATTGACATGATTAGTCTTTTACCTTTGTTTTATTAATGTATGAATCAAACAGTTATCTTTTCCAATATAAAACACCTCTGCATGCCTAGGAGATACTCTCCTGGGCTTTCATTAAATTTGTTTTACAAATATTTGATGTATTTTGTTATATTTTACTTAGAAACGTTGCATGTAGATTCATCAGTGAGTCTGACTTCTGTTGTTCTCTACCTGAGCTGTCCTTGCCTAGTTAAACAGTGAGGTTAGGCTAGTCTTGTATACTGAGCTAGGCAGCTTTCCACCTTTTTCTAAACTTTGGAACAATATAACGTGTGGGCTGTGTTTTTCCACCTAGTTTGGTCTCTTTGTGAGGGACAGACCTTTGACGACATTTTCAAATTTCTGTGGTTACTGTAAAACTTCACAGGAGTGGTAACACGCTGTGTGTGACCTG